CAGACAGCAAAAATCAATGCCTTGGTATCTGTAATTCTGGACTGTTAATTTTTGTCATTACTCTGAGGGAATTTTCTTTGAACCAGATGAAACACTGAGACACACAAACAGACCAAATTTGTCTTAATCCTCAGGCCAAAGTACTGGAGATGTACTATTCCATGAAAAATTTCAGTCAGACATGCTTGTGAGTAGCGAAGTAACAGCAGTAGCAAAACACAGGTTGTAAATGCTGAAGTAGTTACAGGTTTCACTTAAAAAATGCCAGTTTTATGCAACCCTAAGCTTGGTTGTAGCCCTCAGACACACCACAGTTTGAATAAAAATAAAAAAAAAAAAAAGGAAAAAAAAATCACATCTAGGGTTGGTCTCTCAAGACAATCACAACCCTACTGCTCCACAACCTTGGCTGACCTGAATATATGCAGCAGCTTAAGACAATTTCTACCTGTATGAATGGCAAAAACATCTTCAAAAGAGCTGTTCAGCAGGTGTTTCAACCTTACAGGAGTGGATTTTGCTCGCCCTGTTAACCCCTGCTATAAGAAACAATTTAACCGTCATCCAAGGAGAGGGAATCAGCTCTCCAGACTGGGACACATCCTCTTTCTGAAGGTCACTGTGCTCAGACTGGCTCCCAGGAACTTCACGATGAGTTCACATCAGCAACCACATGGCCCATTACCAGCTTATTTCACATGTGGGGCAGTGTTCCTACAATCTGCCAGCTGGGTCTTCTGTTCACAGCCACTTCTAAGTTGAAAATCGCCAACTTGGACGAATCTCAAGTTACAACTATGTAAGCCTTCGGCCGAGTTAGACTTTCAGGATCCCATTCAAACCACATTCATTTTAACGAGCTAACGAACTCCCTGTGGGCAAGAAATTGTTTTTTTTTCCTGAGAATCCATCTAGAATGAGCTCTCTGGTCTGGCTGTTAGAGAACATTTTTCAATTTCTTTACTGCAGTGCAAAGTAATGGTCCTAGAAACATGCTTCTTTTCTACAGGTGTTGTACACATTCATATTCCTCTAATTCACATCTTTGCCCTCTGATGAATTATACAACAAATACAAACACAAAATACAAAAAATATGTGCACTTAATTTAACTGGTGTGACAAGGAAAAAAATTCTGTCCCCCTGATCACAACAGTTAGGCGTATAAATGGAGTTCAGGCAACGGCTTTGTTCAAAGCATTCTTTTCTTCTAGTCAGCTTTAAAAGGCAACTAAAGGGAATGGTCCAAACAAAGGACCTTTTGCAGGAAAACCAGAAGCAAATCCTTGCCCACTCATGTTCATTTAAAACTCCTTTTGCAAGAAAGGAGTTTTCTTGCAAGAATGTTTGCTATAGGATCCAAGCTAAATTCCAAGCTGGATCATTTCTCTCTGCCAGCTTTTGGCAGCACAGTTTTGATAAATACTCAGAGACAGAACAATCAGCAAAGGACAAAGCAATCCTTGTGAACAGTTTGCAAAGCTACTTTGGAGATATTTAGAAAAACATACACAAGTAAATATTTAAGTCAGGGTTATTCATCCTATTGCAGGCAGTCACATTAATGAAAATGCATGTTTGGTTATTAATTGCAAATACTGGTCTTTAGCCAGGCCTGAAATTTTTCAGTGGAAGAACTAGCATAAGCTGTGTGATTACACTCAGCCCACCCTTGCTTTTTCCCATCGCTTCCTATAAAATCTCATCATTGGCTCTTATATGAAGAGGGAGCACTCAAAACAGCTGCCGTCTCTTGCCTGCCAAGCTATCAATGCACTGCGGGAGACAGAGTGAAGAGTTCTGACTGCTCCACTGCTAGTTACCTTGCCTGACTATGAGAGTGAAGTAGTCCAGGCTGCCAAAGCACCTAGCATGCACACGATTCCCACTGCAGACAGAAAGTCTCCTGGCACAACCTTTGTCAGTCTAATTTAGATAGCGGAAGGAAGATAAGAGTGGCATTAGAATAAGTGGTACCTGCAGAACCACTTTGACAATTGACCACATGCAGTCAGTTCAGCTGGTAAATCACCTTCAACAGACTGACCCCTGGACAGCAGGACAAGCCCTGGGGAATATCTGAACACTTCACCCTCTTCACTCCACTGTCAAGGACCACCAAGGACAGGGAAAAAGGGAAAGCTAAAAGCTCACCAATGCTTTTCATTCTGCCATGCTAGATGAAAGTTGCTTTCAGCCTCCTCTAACCTATGCTAGCTGGCAACACCACCTAAAGGATCTTAGAGCAGCAACTGAGGTACATTCAAAATCCGAACACGCCTGCAGCATCACCCCTCTGCTTTTCACATGCCAGCACCGCAGGAAGCAAGGTGGAAAACATGGGTGTGCTTTATGGATAACTACCCAGAAACGCTCGTTCAAGAAGCTCCATGAATTTCCATTCACTGCTACAGCAACACTATTGGTATTTACTGAAAAGTAATGGGAGATGACTGCAAGAGTCCAGACCTAATGTGTAGCAGTTTAGAACATCCTGCGGCATTCTTCTTAATAACAGTTACTTTTTAAAGTTGGGGAAAATATGTACTCAATATCCAGATTTTTCCTGATCTGTGTCCAGCATGAGAGATCACACTGAGCATTTCTCAAACTTTTTGAAGGGTCACCCTCCCTTAGGGATCTTTATTTGAATAAATGAAATTAAAATAAGTCTGTATTTTTTTCCCTTTATTCTCTCCACAAAAGCATTATACCACCCAGAGAACAGGTTATTAATTATACACCCTTTAATTGCTGGTACCAACTCAACTCCTCCAGGACAGGGCAGTGAAAATCTGGTGTAATTAGCAGCTCACTTCTGCCCTGAAGAAAATGAACTATCGTCAACGATTAAAACCATCTGCTGGCTACTGTGAGCAACTCACAACTACCTCCAAGTCCTTCCTGACCCACAGTTTGAAAAATACTATCCCAACTCACTGCCACAGATTGCAACACTGTCCCTAAGAAGCCCTAGGCAAAAAAAGGCTCCAAGAGCTTTTTGAGAAGAAAACAAAAATTAAAAAAAATAAACACCTCTATTCAGGAAGTTTCCCTTCTGTTGTAACATCTTTGTATGGATTCTGGTGATTGACCCCCTTCTAAAAGAATGAAAATACCATGTGGGCTGTGCTGAGAAGCAGCCAAGTGGAACAGAAGGGCTAGTGTTGAACCCAGTAAGGAAGAGGGAGGAATTAGGAAAGATCGACAGCCTAAAGCTATTCAACAGCAGTACAGTGACTGCTTAAGCTGGGATAAGTTTTAGAGGCCTAGAAACTAAATGCTTTCTGTGGGGGCAGTATGTACCTCAGCTGGACTCTTCTAGCCTCAAACATCAGCTGGTGATGAGAGAAGTGAGGGGCTACCAGTTACTCACAGCTAGAAGAGGATTTCGCCAGGACTGTTGCCAACAGTCTTGGCAGCAGTAGTCTTGTGTACTTTGAATTGTTCAGGTTTTCCAAATAGATGTATTGGTTTTGCTTTTCTCCCCTGCAAGAAGTTCTGTTTGTGTAAAACCATTGTTTAACTCTGCTCACAAGCGGAGAAGTATTGCTCATTCTTGAGCATTCAAAGAGTGTAATTGAATTTCCCAGGCTTCTGGGAGAGGGTCAAGCCAGTTTTGTGTGACAATTTTAGCAAGAACCCAATTAAATTAAAGCAAGCTCTGTTGTTGCCAATCTGCGCCTTGGAGAAGAGTTACAATTAAACAGCAAAACATAGCGTGACACTAAGAACAGCAACAGATTTACTTGAGCATCCTCAAAATATATTACCACAATATCATAAAAATAAGCTTTAACACTGAGAATTTACCCAAGCAAGACAAATATTACTCTAGGGCAACAAGATTTTGTGTGCGTTTTCTTCCTTTCTAAAACTGAAGGAAAATAGAACTCCTTCAATACTATCAGGTTTTTAGTCTGCTTGTGTCAGCTGTGACTACCTTCTTTAAAAACAAAGGCAATATTTATTAAACAGCTCTTAAAAATACATACTGTAGCCTCTGTAAAGGAAAAGCACTTATGGACAACAAACACAAACAAGGCAAGTACTGAGAAAAACTACTGTCATTAACTTCAGTCAGACACACACTTATACAAGGTTTGCTGACCTGAAACTAAGTTACAGACCATTATATACCTTCTTTAAATATACCATTAGCATTTTCTGGTGGATAATGGAGCGTACAGGACAAGTGTTGGTGTGATAGTTCCCCTTTTCCCTCACCTGCCTAACCTCCTTCTCTCCACTGCAACATTTAACAACCTGGCACCATTCACCAGAAAAATACAGCAAACAGAAAAACAGGGTACAGTTTTTCAGGTCCCATCAAATTTTTTCCCTTCTCTCCTTCATAATTTCCTGATTTGTCTCCCCCGTGCCCTACTTCTTTCTTCCACTTTCCTTGCCCGTTTTCTTGTCTTGGCCATCTCTTTCTCCTTTTCTTTTCTCAAATTATGTCTGTGTGGTTTTTAAAACAGGATTTCTTTCAGCTTTATGCTTTCCTACTATCTTTTGCCCACAGTTTTGGGTTGGGTTTTGGGTTTGGTTTTTTTAAGTTACCTGGTTCACTCTGAATTTTTTTTTTTTCCCCCTCTCCTTTTCAAGCTACCTGACCCTGTGTCTGTTTACTTGCTCAGGTTATTTTTCTTCAAAAGCCTGGTGATCCTGTGTACACAATCCCACTCAGATGAACAGTCCTCCCAGCAAACCTACTTGTGATTTTCAAGACCCAGGAGGATTTAAATAGATACTGAGCTAGAAGTTAGACCAGGATAGCCACTAGAAGCCAAGAGGATATCAGAAATTGTTTTAGAGAAAGAGGATTTGTCTCAAGACCACAGAGCACTACTATTTTGTTATTACATGAATGTTTATGCTTACCATTTATAACCTGTCTTGGAAGAGTTTCTTTATGAATGAAAAGACAACTGAGACCCATAGGAGTTAGGATGCAGATATCCCCTTCAAACGGCTCTTGAAGAAGCCTCTGTTCTTACCTCTAGGCAAATTACTGATCCTTGATGCTCTTTGAACACTTTCAACTGTTCACCAGTGACAATATTCCACGTTCGAATGGTATAATCCGTGCTGCCAGAAAACAGCTCCCTGTTTGGTGCGTCAAGTATAAGGCATAAGACAGCCCCAGTGTGTCCCAGCAGAGTCTGGTAACAGCGCCCACTGGACACCCACCAGACTTTAACAGTGCAGTCTGTGCTACCTGTCACCAGGAGGTCTCTGCTCACTCTTTCCTCCTCCTCCTCTTCCTCCTCCTCTTCTTCAAGAACATCCCTGGAGGAATAGTGAGCTAGAGTCAGGACACAGTTCCGATGGCCCCGGAATTCCTGGATTTGTTTCTCCTTGTCCACGCTCCAACACCGGGCCGTCCTATCATAGGAGCCACTGAAGAGATAGTCTTTGGCAACCAGGATCCTGCAAAAAATAAAGTCTGCATGTATGAACAGTATCATTCTTTTTACATAACCATTTTTTGTCACAATTTCAATGCCAAACACCCTGAAGTTAGAAACACTAACGTGAACACAACATATATAACCCTAATTCAGCGTCACTGTTAGTACACTCATTTATGAACTTTTTTGGTGGTTTTTTTGTTTGTTTGTTTTAAACCAAACACCCCCCTGTTTCGACTTTTAAAATTGAGACCCCTTATTCAGGTACATTGATATAGACTTTTTATAGCATTGTAACTTTGGGCATTTGTGTTTTCCTAAAATCTTTTCCAGCAGCACTATTATGTACTTTTCATAAGTTACATATACTAGCTAAGAGGTTTTTGTGTGTTTAAAAAAAAAAAAAAAAAAACCAAACACAAAAACAAAACAAACAAGTCCTTCTTGATAATTATTAATTATTTGTAAACAAGTACTAATAATTTATAAACTGATCTATGAAAATAGCTTGGAATTAAAATACCAAAAATCCCCCAACATTTCAGGAACCTGAACTATAACTGACTGTGCAAAGATAATCATCTTTCCATCATCAAATAGAGAGAATGCAGGAAAAATCACTTAGCCCAGGATCTCAAAAAAGGTAGAGCAAGAGCACCCCACTTATTACATAACTGAAGAGCAAATCAGAGATTACAGCTCAAGAATTCAACTTACTGGGCCTCCAAAATAATGAGTTGTAGCTGCCCAAACATAACAACAGAAAAATCTCTACAGTTCATATTTCCAAACCAGTGATAGGGAACATCATAACCTGTCTTCTTTGTCAGCTGAGTTTGGTCCTCTGGAACTTTTCAAACTGGCAGCAAAGTCATGTGAATAGGGAACACATTTCCCATTTGCTGATTCAAGCAAAAATCAGGCCAGTGCCAAAATACAGACAGAGCCAGTCTTCCTAACTATTTACAGAATCTAGCTACACATCGTATGTGGTTTGAGTTTAGTAAGGAACAAAAAAACCCACCCACCCACCAAAAAAGAAATGCAAAAAAAACCCAACCAATCTTTGACTGCTCTATTTGTCATTAATTAAATCCAGTCCAACTATTAAGAAGCACTTTAAATTGACAGGCCAATCAGTCACGCACAATCAGTATAATAATAAACTTCATTTGCACAAACAGGAATAGTAATTCCAGAAAAAAACCTGACTTTATCCCTCTTACTGACACAAAGGCTTGACGTGATGTTTTTAAATCTATTTATCAGAAGCATCTGTTATCAATTGAATAATTTCTTCTGGAATTTCATTCCTAGCCCTGGATTCAATTCCCCTGCTGTGTGCCTTTCATTTCTCTCCTATCTGCTGTCTACAGATGTGTCAGCACTGTTGCTAGGAAAACTAATCATTACAGCACAGAACACATGTAGCATGAACTCAAAGGTTTACACGACCCATTTTATTAGTGTAGTAATGGAGAACTGCAGTAAAATGACAATATAAGCAATAATAGATTACAGGAACACAAGGGAAGAACTCCACAGAACCAACCTGTTAACAATTGATGTGTGTCCTCGGTAAATGGCCAGGCACTGACCTGTCATCACATCCCACTTTCGAATGGTATGATCTGCACTACACGTGAAGGCAGCCTCATTTTCTAAGTGGCAAAAGGTGATGTAACTTTCATGTCCTAGAAATAACAAAGGAAATAAATTCAATCACTGTGCATGCAAGCAGGATAGACTAGTCTAGCTCTTCACCTTAACTAAAAGAAAAATAAAACAAACAATCAGACTGAAACTCTAGTTTTAAATCCACCACCATGTTCTTCACATTTAAGGATCTATATAAAACACAACATTTTTAATTAACAGCAGAAAACTCTGCTTCATTGATACAAGGAATAAGTGAAAGAGTAAAACAGCAGAGTTCCACCGATCAGGTAGATTGAAAAGTATTATAAAAACATAATGAGCTAAATTAATATCGGTATAATAAAACTCAGACTATTGACATTTAAAGCCAGTAAAAAATTGGCTTAGCTTTTTAATAAAGAAATGCTTTTGCTTCCTTCTTCTGAAGTCAGGAAAAAAAGGCTGCATTTCGACCAAGCCCATTGATTGTCAGGACACAAACAGCCTTAAATTAAAGCATGAAACCATGAAAAGAGGAAGCAACACGAGACTTACCAGCAAGTTTAATTTCATTGTCCAAGCAGAATGAAACGCAAACAAAAAACATATCTGGTAAAAAGTCAGCCAATACTTTCCCCATTATGACTAATAACATGAATAAAACCCACAATTTACAAAATATCAGTATACCTTTAAGGAAATGACACAGAAAGAAAGAATAAGAGCACAGTTATTTATACAGTATTCAGTGTATGCTGGGATTCTACAGTTACAATAAAAATAGACACAACTGCTACTCTAAAAATTTTGTGCTGAAAAACAGGGTAATGCTAGCAAAGAAGAATCAAAATTACAACCTTAAGCTTTTGTTGTTGCTTAGCAAGATGTGTCATTTTTCTATTGGATCATTAAATGCACTGCACTTAAAAATCACCCTAGGATTCAAGTCCCAGCTTTGTCCAAGATATCTTGTGTGAAATTCTTGTCACCTATCTAATCGTTGGGATAGTATTATCTTGCGCTCTTCTGTTTTAATTATTTAGACTGTAAGCTTTCAAGATCAGAGCTGTTTCCTCTTAAGTAACTAGCACAAGAAAGCCCCAGACTTTGGTTGAAGCTGGTGGGCCCTACTGTGATTTAAATAACACTGTTCTTTGAGGAGAAAAGAAAAAATATAAGGACAAATGTGATTGAAGAGAGACAGATGGACAAAGATACTAGAAAAACAGAATCATGTTGTAGAATAAAGAGATGGTAAAAAAACACAAGGGAAAGCAGACTGCCCAGTAAAACACTTTGTTTCACTGACTGCAAAAACAGATTTTACTACAACTCCTGCAGTTCAAAAGCCTTGCTGTTGTTCAAAAGCGAACCAGAATCCATGTTACAAACACAAGTCTTGTTTTCTCTTAAGTGAATTCACCAGATGCCAAAAATTAAGCAGATCACCAGGGCTATAAGCAAAACTATAGCCATCCTCACATTTTTGTGAAAGCTTTTTGAAAAGCATTTTAAATGGGACAGGTTTCAACCACTGGGATTTTTCTCACAGCATCATGTAATCCTGCTCTGAGAAGATCAAAAAGCATCTTGGTTACTGCACCAAAGTCTGTCAGTCAGATTTTAAGCATCAATAATACTTGAGCCACACAAAGCATGCCAGAACCCCCTGTGGCAGACAAGGTCTGGTGCTGGTCTGGTCAAAAGCAGCCACCACAGAAGTCTGTTGGTTATGCTGTGGTGGAAGCCTGAAACTGTGTTATAGATACAGGTTTATCAGTAATTACAGCTTGTACAATACAAATTTACACAACAACTGTGTGTGTGCATAAATATAAAATACATACAATTATCTGATTCAACTGACAGTTCACAAACCATCTAGTCAACCTTCTTTAGAGTTTACCCCAAATACTAGCAGTACATAGGCCAGATTCTGAATATTATCCAATACATTTCTCTTTCTAGTTAGAAGTTGGTTAGTAGTTTAAAGGGATTTCTAAGCCTAAAGCAAATGCAGTGAGTTTTCCAGAAGCTAGAACCATGGCAGGATGTGGGGAAAAAAGACAATACTCAATAGTTAAAAACAAGCAAGCAAACAAACAAACAACAACAAAAAAGTCACAGCAATGTGATTTCTTCTTTGGGAAAAAAAAAAGATTAGAAATTCCAAATTTAAGAGCTCTTTTTTTCTGTATTAAGAGAAAAGAACATGAGTGAGTGAAAATACAAACGTCTTTAGTCCACATCTGACTCCTGCATGACTGTACTTTCTACAGACTTTTTTTAATTATTGAGATACTAGTCCAAGGGTAATACATTTTCTTTAAAATGCAAAATCAATTTAAAATTAAAAAGCCCAGCCATTAACATTTCTGTGTGCCAAATACGGGGAAAAAACAGCCCATTTAGTAAGGTTTCTTTCCAGACTTCTGGGTCAAGAGGTTCTAAATACAGAGTGTCTGGAAAATGAGATGATTAAAAGGACAAAAAAAAAAAAACAACAAAACAAAAACCACCAGAAAAAAGAGAGAGAGACACAATAACAAAAAGTCAGTATTTCATCAGGGTGTAAAACAGAGAGCTTCCAGAAAGAGACAAGTTAAACGATTGCTATGTTCCACACCCTGAGATAAAAGGATCCATGCATTCAGTAGCGCTGGTAACCTGTTTGGGGTTGAAATAGCTTCTGCTTAACATTACTGTAACAAATACTCAAAAAAACACAAAACAAAACAAGCGTGATTTTGGCTGCCCGGCAAGCTGCATGGACTGAAAGAAACCAGAACGTGCTGTGTGGCCTGGACTCAAAAACTAGGCAAAAAGAAGCTATTGTACCTTGGAAGTGGCCATGGCACTGGCTGTCAGCAGTGCTCCAGAGCCGCGCAGTGCCATCCTCACTACCGGTGAGCAAGCGCTGCCCGTCCGGGCTCAGGCTCAGCCAGTTGATGCCTCCTTGGTGATCCGTGCAGACCTTCACGGCTGAGCCACTGTTGCCCATCCTGGTGGTCCCAGCAAAGGCAGAGGCTGCGGGTCAGATCATAGACACTGCGCAACCCCCGGAACATGCTCTGGGCCTCCAGCCATCTCCCACTGACCACCTTCAGCCATTACCTCAACTCCGAAAAATCAGCAGGGTAGTCGAGACTCCTGCACAGGGAGGCAAAGGAGGAAGAGGAGCGCACGTTTAATCATTTCACCTCCCTCCCCCGTGGATACATCACTTTCTCAGGGTGCGCTGAAGCCATCGAGCGCCTCTTTCTCCGCAGGAACCGAAGCCCTACCGTGGGAGACGGCCCTTCAACCCCAGGCTCCCCGGTGCACCTCCTCCGCGGGCACAGAGGTACGCCCAGCCCCTCGGAGAGGACCCAGCCTGGACGGCGGCGGTACCGCTACCTGGAGCCCGGCTCTGAGCCTGCCGGCACGCTGCCGCTTCTTAAAGCGATTTCAAGGCTAACTTGGGGCACGCTGAAGAGGCGACGCCTCCGAGAGAGGGAAGCTCAGCCTCAGGCGGCCCCAAAGCCCCAAGGGGCCGCGGGCCCCCTCCCCCGGCCGCCCTGGGATCACCTCAGCGGCGCCCAGCCCTCCCCGTCCCGGGCTGCCGCCATCCCTCCCACACGGCCCCCCGGCATCTCCGCCCTCGGCACTTTACTCACCGCCCCGGACGCGGGTGGAGGCGCGGGGCTCGTCGTCCGGCCGAACGATCCCGCACTCACCCTCTGGGGACGGGGAACCTCCTCCCGCCGGGGGTGAGGGGAGGCGGGAGGGCGGCCGGGCCGAGCGAGGGA